AGCAGGAATTTACAACTGGGGTGCTGCATGGTCTGAGTCCTTTGTAACAGAATAATTGCTCTATTATTCTTCTAAGAGTAAATTATGCTTTGCTCTATTATTTTCTATTGTCAAAAAACCAAATGAAAGATAAGAGTTGGCAATTTCCAAGAAGTCCCTTGAGTCTATCGAGGACTCCCTTGAATCTTTTGAGCGATACCCTAAGTCTAGAAAGGTTGAAAACAACTGTTCTACATCAAATCATAAGGCATCCATGTTGAAACAATTTTATATCAATATAGATTCAAGAAATTCAACTCTAGTTATATATAAGAAGCCTTGGTTCATGTGTATAGACCTTTCTGTTTTTCTTAAAAGTTCATAGAAAACAGCAAACTGTATATATACAATACACTGTTTTTAAATGGTGATTTTATTTGTAAATGACACGTTCTCAAATGTATGAAAGGGACTAGTCATCACTGGATGAGTCCATACCGTACTTTCTTTTAATTGGTTAATATTATTGTTACTGTTTCCTCATCTGTTTCTGGCATCATATAGTACAGTACTTGTTTGACGAGCTTTAGATAAAGTGCTCCCGCTGCCATTTTGAAGTACGGGGAAGCTGATATATGAGACGCTCTGGGTGCTTTAATTACAGCCACTCTAAGAGAGTCCTTCCTCAGAGAGCCACGCTAAAGAGTCCTTCCCACCACTCCTAGAACATGTGTATAAATGCCCAAGGATTTTAACTTGATCCCTCTTGTCTTTCATAAGGTAATGGTTATACAAAGAACTTCCAGAAAGGGCCCAAAGTTGTTGTGTTTTTTTATGTTCCTTTTAAAAATATTTATCTAAAACTGTGTAATTGGGGTTTTTTTTGGTCTGGTTATTATTGTAGTGTATGCATATCATTTTATGCTAAGCAGCATATGAATGTAATTTGTCTTGGGGTATTTTAAAATCATTGTAGGATATGCTAAGTGACTGTTCTTATACTTTACTCATTTTGTATATCAATCAATCCAAGAAAACTCTCTGAATGGAAATGATCATTAATTAGCTCTTTGACCCATGTTAACTTTGGTAATCCTTGTATTACATCAAAACCCAAATACCTTAAATATGCTCCTGAGACTATAGGCAGTTCTAAATTAAAACAAAAAAAAACTTTCCTAAGAGTATTAACAACCCTGATTAATAAGCACGGACATTTGGTTACATAAAGAGACATCTTCCATTATTGGAGCATGTGCTTTCAGATACAGGAAAGTTTATCTCTTAGGTTAACTTGCTTCATTCGTTCAGTGTTATCAGGTTATGTATATGTTGAGCAATTTCCATTTCACTCAACAAAAGTTAGCTAAATTCCACAGCAAGTGAAGCAACAAATGCAGGAAGGGGAAATGACCAAGTTCATCACTTACTCAGTAAAAACAGCTTTATTAAATGTAACTAGATATTATGGGATTTAATGTAATATCTAGGTCTCCAATGCTGCAGACATGCGTGAACTAAATTTTATTTATTAGTAATAAGATTGAAGGTAGCTTCTGTTGTTAAAGAAATTTGTTAGTGGCAACCATTCAGTGGCTGGACTTCAATGGCTTGGTATTTTCTAATTCTTCATATACTCCATATAAAAATTACAGTTTCTAGCATTGCAAAAGATCCAAGAACAGAATAAGCACAGGATTGTTTTTGTAAAATTTTATAGTGGGATTTTCCATTGAATAATTTAATCATTCCTTGTTGGGGTTCCAAATAAAAGGTTGATAATAAATACCCCACAGTGTGAAAGCAAAGTAAAGCAAAGGAAGTTGCGTTACTGCTGTGGTTGATATTGTATCAATCTCGGCTTCCATATTTTATTATGTGTTTCCATTTCTCAGCCTTTATCCTGAACATGGGTCTTGGCAGATTATAAACTTTAGTTAGTATAAAGTGGATTTTGTTCAGGGAACTGGAGTTGGTAGTAGAAACTCTCCTTTTCCAGGCAAACTACTGGTACGCATGCTGAGACGTTTACTGCCTTGTGCAGCTGCTTAGTCTTATTAAGGAACAGATGGGAACAAAAAACCCTTGCAATTATCCTTTTTGTGACCAGGATAGTGTAAAGATAAATGCAGAATGTTGTCTCTAGTGCTAGATTGGAGGTGTACTATTGTCATTGTTTTGCTATGATGTTATTATTATGATTAATATCCTGCTGTCTAGTGCATAGAATAATAGAATATTAGGGTTGGAAGGGACCTCAGGAGGCCATCTAGTCCATCCCTCTGGTCAAGGCAGGACCAGCCCCAACTAGATCATCCCAGCCAAAGCTTTGTCTAGCCAGGTCTTGAAAACCTCCAAGGATGGAGATTCCATCACCTCTCTCAGTAACAGGATCAAGTGTTTTATTACCCTATTAGTAAGATTTTTTTTCCTAGCATCTAACCTAAACTTCCCTTACTGCAACTTGAGACTGTTGCTCTTTGTTCTGGAACCTGCCACCACTGAGAGCAGTCTAGCTCCATCTCCTTTTGAACCACCCTTCAGGTAGTTGAAGGGCTGCTATTAAATCCCCTCTCAGTCTTTCTTCTCTAGACTAAATAAGTCCAGTTTCCTCAGACTCTTCCTCATAAGTCATGTCCCTCAGCCCCCCACTATTTTTGTCACACTCCGCTGGACTCTCTCCAATTTGTTCACATCTTTTTTGTAGCAGGGGGCCCAAAACTGGACACATTACTCCAGCTATGGCCTCACCAGTGCTGAATAGAAGGGAATAATCACTTCCCTTGACTTACCGGCAATACTTCTACCAATGCATCCTGGTATGCCATTAGCTTTCTTCACAACAAGGGCTCACTCTTGGCTTATATTCAGCTTATTGCCCCCTGTAACCTCCAGGTACCTTTCTGCAGAGCTGCTGCCTGCCCAACCTGTACCAGTGCATTGGATTGTTCCATCCTAAGTGCAGGACTTTGCACTTGTCATTATTGAACCTCATGAGATTTTTTTGGTCCAATCCTCCAAGTTGACTGTATGCTGTTAGCGTTCCTGGCAACTATGGCACGCTGCTGGCTCATTTGGCTTATTGTCCACCATAACCCCCAGGTCCTTTTCTGCAGAGCTGCTGCCCAGCCAGTCAGCCCCCAGTTTGTACTGGTGCAGGGGCCTGTGCTGTCCTAAGTGCAGGACTTTGCACTTGTCCTTGTTGAACCTCATGAGATTTCTTTTGAGCCAGTCCTGCAGTGATTCTCAACTTTCTAGACCAGAGACACCGCTCAGAAAATGCACGGTCCTAGCTTTCACTCATTTTGAGTGGGAATAGAGTAATTTTTCTATTGCAAAGAACTCAGAAAGACGGCAACAGGGCAGAATGCTTTTGACAGGTTGGATTCCTACTGGAAACCTGTGGGTTTACCGCGTGAGCTACCCGCGCTAACAAAGCAGGGAAGCTCAGGGAGTCCCTGCACCCTGACGGGCAGTCCCTGCTGACAGCACCGCCACATCCTTCGAAAGGTCCCATCACATCAGCCTCTTTCACGGCGACCGGCCCGGACAGGGGTGGCAGCGCGGAGCAAGGCTCCGAGCCCGCATCCAGTCGCGCCGCGCCCCGCCTTCTGCGCGCCCTTCCGCCCCGCCCCCAGCGGCGTTCCACTGGCGCTAATTGGCCCGCAGAACTCGCTCTGGCACCGGCTACTGAGACACGTGGGCTACGGCGGGTGGTGTGGTAGAGAAAACGACGCAGGAAGCGCACACGCATGCGCCCCTCTACCGCTGCCTCTTGCCTCGATGCTCGCGTGCCTTCCTTCTGTGTTAGCCGGTTGCGCACGCGCGCGTTCTTCTCTCCGCCCCTTTCTCCGTTAGCCGGTTGCGCATGCGCGCCGCGCTCCACACAGGCACACGCGCATCCCTATCTCCCCCCTCGCCTGTTATCCGCCCACGCATGCGCGCTGCGCAGCGGCCCCTGATCCGTTCAAACAGGAAGGCGGACATATTTGCGTCCGAGCCTCTCTTACCCGCGTCGCCTGGACTTGCCGGTGCCGCCGCGCCC